GCCTCGAATCATGTTGGTTCGTATTAGTATGAGACTATGTTAGCCAGAAGGGGCAGGTTATTCAAGCACTGGAGGCATCTCTTAAGACCAACTTCTGAAGCTGTGGAACTGGTTTGCACCAACAAGAAAGCAACACTTTCAAAGGCTAATACCAACTTTATAACTTGTATAGTTTCGGTTGGCAGCATAGGAAAGATAAACTTCCTTGTTTTCTTTTTCCTTTTTCCCTGTTTTGCTAGTTCTGGTCAGCCAACCCTCTTTTGCTTAAGTTTTGTACCTTGCCTCCTGGGCAACATAATGTGCTTGTGTGATGTCTCCACACAGAACTTGATTTTGATTTGGTTGTAAGTTACCGTCAGTAGTAGACCTTAATATGGTTAAGTTAGTTGTTAGATCTCGTCAAGTATGCAGCGTTTTTTTAATGGATACTTCGAGCAGAGCTCAAGTCCGATGATGTTCATTTTTCAATCCATTCACAATAACAAATACTGCCAGCTTCGAAATGTAACAACTTTATAAGACTTAATGGTGACAAAATTCAGACCACTTGTATGAAATATGGTCATCAACCAAGAATGCCTATGAAAACACTCACAGTTTGAGTGGGAATTCTAAAGCTACCAACTAGCTCTTGAATCAAGATTATGTTTCATTTTGCAGTAAAGCTAGATAACAGGAAGCCAGATTGTGCTGACGCTCTCAGACAGGAGGATGTAAAACGAATTAGGGGCCTCTAACACCTGTCAATGAGAGATAAACATTCATCACAGTAAGTACCAAAAGTCAATAGGCTCTAATATTGAAGTGTTTCAGCTTGATTTTCTAAGTTCCACGCAGTTTAAGAATGTAGAATGTTTCAAATTCGACCTAAGCAGAATCGAGACCAGCCCCACCTGCTCGAGCTCTCAATATTTCGGTTCTCTTACTTCTTTCCATTATATTCACCAACCATTCAACACTTTCCTTTATCCCCATCCTGTGATCAAAAGAATGAAGAGTTTCAATTTTCTAACAGCTTTTCTGTGGCAAAAGATAATTTAATGGATGAAAAACAGGCATAAACTGGCTAACAGAAGACCAATTTTCAAGTACTTGAATGGATACAAACTGGCTATATACACGTACCCATCATAGCCAGAAACAGCTTCAAACATGCAGACTCTTTCATCCAATTTTTTAAGATCAAGATAACGAGAAAGTTCTTCCGCTGATACAGCTTCAGGAAGATCCTGCATCCATGCATTCAATGATACCACAGCTCCAAATCAAATGTAAAGAAGAATTATTTTCCCAATATATGAATGAATTGTTCATAGTTTCATGTTCTATATAGTTTTCCTCTTCTAGGAAAGAGGTGTGCAGAAAAGGAAGTGGTTCTGACCTGCTTGTTTGCGAAAACCAAAAGTGGAGCTCCTTGCAAATCCTCGTGTCGAAGAACTTTCTCTAGGAAAGAAATCCAAAACAATATCAATGCATCATATTCATCAAGTTTAGGTGGTTCCTGCAGCAGTAGAACCCTGCAGCTACCAACGTAATTAACGTATGGCCATCCTATATCATCACCTACCCAATGCAGATTTGGAATCTTCAAATTTTGATGGACAAGCAGCATCAATTACATAGATCACAGCATGTGCCTCTTCATAATATTTTTCCCAAATAGACCGAAGGCCAGGCTGCAAATAATTTCAAACGATGAAAAAGACGAACTAAGATAAATAACATATGCATACATGATTTTATATAACAGGACCTTTGCTCATTATACATACCTGACCTCCCAGATCCCAGAAGACAAGTTTTGCGTTCAACACCTCAAGCCGCCCAATATTGAGTCCAACGGTTGGCACAATCCGATCGGGGGAGAGACCTTCTAAGTTCGAGAATAAGGACTTCAACTTCTCAAGCAAAGTCTGCAGCAAAAAGTTAGTAAGCCTAGAATAGTGGATGGAAAATATGAGGAAATAACTAAGCTTAATGAGTCAAGAGGGAAGAGGATTACTGTTTTCCCCGCCTTGTCAATTCCTAGGATGAGAACATGAAACTCTGTCTTACTAAATATGTACTTCCAGAGGCCATAAAATAAAGAGAACATTGTATCTTTTCAGTTTGCTCGGATATTAGTTTCTCTTAACTCTTGGGGCCAAACTTCATAACTTCAAACCTCCTTAGCCAATTTATTCTGCAACTCCAGAAACAGGATAGAAATGAATAGCAAAGTAAATCAAATAAAACATAGCCCCACTTAGATTTTGAACCTATCAGTTTACCAGATTGTTTTCTCAAAATGTAAGTCTGGTTCCATGAGAATTCAAAATAAAGCTTAGATATTCAAGCAATCTACGAAAGGTTTTGCAAAGTCGATGGAAGTTCAGACATGAAATAGTATTCAAGCCTGCACAAAACATTACTGGAATTTCAAAAGCAACTACCATTGAAATGCGTTTGTAATGGAAAAGAGAAAATAGAATACTAGACTCCCTTGCACCATCAAATTCTAATGCATAACATTCCCACTGAAAACTCCATACTTGAATACAAAATCAGAAAGAGGTTTGTGATCCGTAACATCGCATCTACGAGCCGGAGAAATCTTTTCAGGGGCCATAATCAGCATATAGTTTACCAAAATTCGGATCCGCAAGCTGAAAGTAAACAATCGAGCAACATATTCCAAATGGTGAACCATATGTTCTACCAAGGATAGAAATGAGGAGCAAAAAGCATGTGCTAAAAATCAAAATCAACTTCATACGAGATGCTATGTTACTCGAATAGTAAGATCAAACATCGAGCGCCAAAAACAATTACGGGACGCGGGAGAATTCCATCATGAAAAAAATTGGAAATGGAAAAATGCGCAGTTGAATTTCGGCGATCAAAAGCTAAACCATGGCAGTAAATGGATCAGATCGGGCAATAAGAGGAATTAACCCATTACAAATTCGGATCGATAAAACAGATAAGAAGTCGGATTCGTACTCTTGGAATGAAGGGATTACTGAAAGAACTGCCGCTAGTGTACGGCCTTCCCCTTCCAGTGCAGCAAATACGAGCTCCCACCGCCTGAAAATAACCGGAGCTCTGTTTTCCGTCCAATAATTATAGAACTACCCTTCTGGAGGACGCTCTGTCTCGATTTCTCCCGATTGCCGCAATTGCAAAGCAACGTTCTCTTCTCCCAATACCGATATTGCCCCCGCCAATTCAGCCATAGGGGTATGTCGTTTGATTCCTTATTTCTTAATAAATAAATATAATTCGAAACTTAAAACTTTTACTCAATCATATAATATGTTCCATTAAGCTAAAATTAATTACAATTTTAACCGATCAACAATATGTCACATTTTTTATAACATAAAGTAAAGAATATGATTATTTTAGGATTACTTATATAATATACCTTATGCTTCATATAAAATATATTATTCATACTAATCACACGTGGCATGATACGGCAGGATAATTCAAAACAACTGCACCAGAAGCACATCACATAGACCCAAAACCCCTTAATTTCGTTAGTTTAAAGACGATGTGTTGAAACCGAGAGAGTTACCATCAAGCGACCTCACGCGCCGCCCGGAAGTCCCGGGTGTTCCTCTACGGTGTCGGCCGTGAAGGCCTAATGCTCAAAGCCCTCCGTATACGGCTAGCTCATCTCGGCCTCTCGTCGCACCAGGTCTTCGACATGAACGTGCCGCCAATTTCATCTCCTGACCTCCTAATTGCATCGGCCGGCCCCGGCGAATTTTCGACCGTCGATGCGATTTTCTCCGTGGCCAGATCCAACGGCAATAGAGCTTTGCTTCTGACTGCCTAGACGGAGAGCGGCTCGTGTGTAAATCAGGCCGACGTGATTTGCAACGTTCCGGCGCAGAGCATGGCGGACGATGAGGAATCGACGACGGCGGCGGTGAAATGGCGGGCTGTGCTTCCGATGGGAAGTTCGTATGAAGGAGCTCTGTTTGTTTTGTTTGAAATGGTGGCATATCAACTGGGTGAGGCGTTGGGAGAAAGCTCCGAGGCCGTCCGATCACGCCACACCAATCTTGAATGAATGGATGGATCAGATTCAGTTTTAAATTTAGATAAAGATCGTTTTAGTAATAAAGTGTTTTAAATTAAAGCTAAGTGAATGAAAAGACTAATTATTAGTATAATTTTAGTCAAATCCATACACGTGGAGACAGATAATTGGGTGGATTTTTACGAGTCCATTTCCCATCTTGATTTGAAATAAAGATACCCTCTTAATTATAAAAGCCCAAAAGTAAATAGTTTGACTATAATAGGATTAGCATCCTAAATTAATGTTTGTTTGAAATTCAATTCTCAACCACTCCTTAAAAGGGATTCCAAAGCTAAAATAGAATCATTTTTTACGTTTATATTTAAAACTTCTTTACGATATATTTTACTTTTTAATTTAATTATTTAAATATATATTTATTTAAAAGTTAAATATTACTATGAAAATATATAATTAATATGAATATAATTTGCTATATTTATATGTTTACTTTATTTTAAATACAACAAATCAAGTTACAATTTTGGAGGCAAATAAATGAGGGTGGAAACAAAAGAAAAAAAGTGAATAAATAAATAAGGAAATTTGTCAGAATCCGTCAACTGGAATAAAAGTCAGATCTTTTTGTTTCTCATTATTCATCTTCTAAAATATCTCTCTCTTATCAGTATTTAATCCATCCAGATATTTTCACCGCTCTCCTCCATGCCCCAATCTTCCCCACCTTCTCGACTACACTTTTCTTCCCTACTCGCTCTCTCCTTCCTCCACCCGTCCCCCAAATTATTACTCTCTTTTCCCTGCCATATACCCCGAATCAATAAACATACCATATTCATTTTATTTATAGTATTTTAAGTAAGATATACAATAAAGTTTTATATATTTTTTAAAAGTTTGTAAATTATAAAATGCATTTTATATTTTTATTTAATCAACGAACACGGAAAAATGGAGGATTCAATTATGATGGTATTATGTTTATTATGTTTTTAAAAAATACGTGTAAGAGAAGGAAGGCGAGTAGCGACAACGCTTTATGTGTTAATCTGTACTCGCGTTTGAGAGAGGGGAAAAAGGGGAAGGCAGCGAAAAGGAGAGGGGAACCTATGGGCTCTTCCCTAAAGCGGTCTATAAAAACCAACGTAGTTAGCCCCACGAATCGACACTCACTCCCAAGCCCATCGGAAAAGTGCATTTCATAATTCTTCTCCTTCTTCCAACTCCTGTCTGGTTCTTGATTTCGTATACTCCTACCCATGGAGTCGCACGTGCAATTCAGCGAAACGAAGCCGTTTTGGACCAATGAGAAGCACATGCACTTCTTGAATTCCATGGAAGCTTCTTTTGTGCGATCAATGTTCAAAAATCGGAACCATCGCCGCCGTCTACGGCTGGACCGCCACCTGTCGGACACCGCAGACTCAACCCTAGATTCGCCTCAGAAGAACAGAAAAAAGCATTCCATCTCCGGTGAGTTTAATGTTAGCGTCTTTTTGTCAGTCATTTTGCAGGTCTTTACGCCTTGTTTGGGTGCACGAATATAATGAACGCAAATAATAGGATTAGGGTTGGAGTAGTTCTTGGTTAACGTTAAAGGCGCATTATTTTCGTATATTTAGGTTTTTTTATTTATTTTATTTTTGACTCAAATGGACCGACCAACCAAACAGCGCCTAAACAACACGACTAAAGCGGGAATAGTGAATATTCCCTGTGAAGATATTTATGTGTGATTTATATATCACAATACTTTTTTTTTTTTTTTTTTTGTAATATTTTTTTGTTATTTATTTATTTTCTTTTTAATGACTTACGGCTATGATCCAGTAGGTACCAGAATGGACGGTAGATCTAGCAGGAGATCAAGACGGATACCATCTCTGCCGCACACTTCAATTCAAGATCAGGTCAGCGCAATATAAACATTACATTTCTTATTTCTTTCTTTTATTTTTCTCTACCAATAATAGAAATTATAAATATGTGCAATTCTTGTCTTTATTTCCTTTTAATCTTATCTTTTTCAATCAAAAGTATGCTCTTTTCGCGGCTTGTTTCAGCATTTGTTGTAATGCCACGTGGATATAAACTAATAAGTTATTTAGGTTTAATTAAATTTAAATACAAATTTTTCTCAAGTATTTGATATTTTAAACAATAATATAGATATTTATAGTTACATTATTAAAATAATAAAATGGCATGCTTATGTGGTAATGGCAGGTGGTCCCACAGATGGAAGAGAGAGCAGTTGAGGATGAAGATGAGAGAGACCATCCCTTGTCACCTGTCAACTAATAAATATAATATTAATTATTATTATTATTTCAGCTACATTTTTTTTTTCCATTTAGTTTCTTCATTTAATCCTCGCGTCTTTTCACTTAGTTTGTTAATCTTCAATTAATGATGAGAAATGAGTGAAAGCGTTAATTTAATTGGCTACCTCAGGTAGGTTAAATACAATAAACGAAGAAGAGGGTAAAATTGTAAATAAAGGGAATATTCAAAGATATATATATATATTTTTTTTAATATGTTTTTTATTTTCCGAGATCATAAAAGACCATGTGGGGTTATAGCAATAGGAAAAGGGAGTCCATCGCCAATTCCGATTGGGAATATAATATAAGATAATATAATATATTATATTATATTATATTATATTTAATATAAATGATAGTATAGTGAAAGGAAGATATTTTATTATATTATATTCTATTATAATATATCATTTATATTATATTATAAGATATAATATATTATAATATATATTATAATATAAATGATAGTATAGTGAAAGGAAGATATTTTACTTGGCAATGTGGGGTTGATTTGATTATGATTGGTTTGTTTTTTTCTTTTTTTTTTTAAATTTTTTTTATTGGGTACAATGGAAAGTCATAAGAGTGAATGGGATTATGTGGGGATAATGAAAGGGATTCATGAATATAAAGTTTGTTGCCTAATCTTATCTTATATTTATAGGGGCACTTGTAGAAAAAAACAAAAAAAAAAAACATAAAGATACTGGAAGTGTACCCAAATAAAGTGGACCTTGGGCCGAGCCGATTCAAGCCCATCTCAGTGAAAGCAGCCCAGTGTTGGAGAAATTAAAAATAAACAAATAAGAAGAATGAAATAATCTACGTGGCCGCCTACGTGGAATGATTTGGATTTGGGGTAACCTTTTTAGAGCGACGGTGACAGCTTAAATGTAATTTATTTTCTTTTTAAAAAAGAAAGGCGTAGCCTTTCGAGGAAGTTTCTCAAATCGCCGCACATTCTATTTCTCGTCGCTTCCAAAATTGAAAATATCTTTTCGTTCTCTTCCACGAAGCTTCTAGAATTGCAATCCCTCCAATGGCATTACCGGAAAATTCGCACATAGAAGCTTTCTTTAGGGCTTGGGACCTGCCTGCGATCATTCCGGGATCTGATTTGGGTGATTCTTGTGGCGTCCCCCATGGGAGCGCCGAGCGCCAAACCGTCGCCTAATGGAGGCGATTCACAGAGATCTATGCCCACTCCTTTCTTGACCAAAACGTATCAGCTTGTTGACGACGAGACAATCGACCATGTCATTTCATGGAACGACGACGGATCTACCTTCATCGTTTGGAACACCATCACTTTTGCTACAGATTTGCTGCCGAAGTATTTCAAGCACAATAACTTCACTAGCTTTCTCCGCCAGCTCAATACTTATGTAATCAATCCTCTACTGGATTTAAATTTTATTGCTCTTTCCTTTCCGAGCCATGGTGGATTTGTTTTTTGATTGCTGGATTTTTTTTTTTTTTCAGGGATTTAGAAAGGTTGTATCGGACCGTTGGGAGTTCGCGCACGAGTGTTTTCGCAAAGGTAAGAAACAGCTTCTTTGTGAGATTCAGCGGCGGAAGTTTCACACTGCGTTGCCGTCCACGACTCCGCCTGCGCAACTACTAGCAGTGACGGGCAATTCTTCTAGTGAAGAGCAAGTGATTTCGTCTGATGAGACTCCGACGAGAGCTTTTGCAGAGCTGATCGATGAGAACGATCGGCTTAGAAAAGAGAAAGCAAAGCTTACGGAACAATTGGTTGAGATGAAATCTCTGTGCAACAACATCTTCTCGATGATGTCGAGCTTTGTTGAATGTCAATTCAAGAGCAGTTTCAAAGTGAGAGACAGCGTTTTAACACCGGCAAAATCGCTCGATCTTTTTCCAGTGAAGCGGCCTTCCGGCGAAGACGAAGCGGCAAAGACGAATCAGATCGGCGCGGCCATCAGAGCGAAGCGTCCGAGGGAATACAGAGAGTGGGCGACGGAGATAGCGGAGGACGATACTACTTTGCGACTCCAACCACCGGATAGATCGAAAGTCAAATCAGAGCGGGTAAATTGTCATAATAAAGTTGATCAGAAAACGTGGCGTAATCAAGTCCACTGAGAGTCATCAAATGGATCTGTAATTAACGGCTAGGATAATAATGTATCGACTTTTCAGGTTCTTGTTCAAGTAATCAGAGATGCAGGGAATCATTCCATCCCCAAATCTGGAAAAAGATGGCACGTGTGCCGCCATTTCAGGGGGCAAATTAAGAAAGTTTCAAAGCACATTAAGCGTTAATGAAACTTCATCACCATTTTCTCCTTAGTTTTAGATTAGATTAGCAGCAGATAAAATGTTAACACAAATGTGAACATTTTGAGCATATACTCCTAAATACTTCTTTACAGTGTTATTCTCAGCTCAAAGTAAGAACCTTTCGTGTTACCCTTTACACATCTTTGATCCCTTTAAGAAACTTCAATACCTGAAGCATGGAAGGTCTGTTAGCAGGATTTTCTGATAAGCAAACACAAGCAATCTGAAGGGTTTGAAGCATCATATGCTTGGAATCACCATTCAGTACTGTGGCGTCAAGAACGTCTGCAGCCTGCCCCTTGTTGATCTTCTGAAACACCCAACCAACCAGGTTTCCGCCCTCAATCTCTTTAAAGTCGGGTCCTGTTGGTTCCTTCCCAGTTACCAATTCCAGTAGGATTACACCATAGCTATAAACGTCCCCCTTTGTAGTAGACCTCCCACTCTGCCCGTACTCCGGTGGGATGTAACCAAAGGTTCCAGCAATCTCAGTTGTGACATGAGTCTCACAAGCACTGATCAGTCTAGCCAACCCGAAGTCGGCAACTTTTGGTTCGAAGTCTTGGTTGAGGAGTATATTGCTTGCTTTAACATCCCTATGAATGATGTGGGGGATGAATCCATGGTGAAGAAATGCCAATCCACGAGCTGCGCCTGAAGCGACTTTAAATCGAGTCTCCCAGTTAAGGACTTCGAGGGTACCGATTCGGTTTCTTAGCCAAAGATCCAAGCTACCATTCACCATATATTCATAGACTAGGAGCTTCTCCTCCCCAAGAGAACAGTAGCCAAGTAGTGGAACAAGATTATGGTGCTTTACTTTGCCTATAGTTTCCATTTCAGCAATGAATTCTCTGTGCCCCTGTGTTTTTGCTTCGCTTAGTTTCTTCACGGCAACAATTTTTCCATCAGGTAATGTGGCCTTGTACACTGTCCCGAATCCTCCATCTCCAATGATGTTTGTCTTACAGAAGTTATTGGTTGCTTCGAGAATATCAGCCAAAGTTAATTTCAGAAGGGGTTGCTCGAACGTGGCTACATTGATGCTTAAAGGCTCTCTCGATCTGCTGCTGCTGCTTAAGAAATAGAGATTGGGGTCTATGAAACATTTTAATTTGCTTTCCTCCATTTCCTCTGGATCGTTCTCTCTCTGGCTTCTAATGATCCATCTCCGCATGGCGAATGTGATGGTTAGAACGATAAGAACACTAACAATGATAATCCCAGCAACGCTCCAAGCATTCAATGCTGCTGATCTCTCTAAGATTTTGATCCGGCAATTCAAACCCATGATTCTTCCACAAAGGCCCTTGTTACCCACAAGTGAACTTCTGGATAGATTCTGGCAAATGCCACTTCTCGGAATTGGCCCTTCCAGACTGTTTTCTGCCATATTCAGGTAAACCATATTGACGAGGCTGCATATTTTCTCTGGAATTTCTCCTGAGAACTTGTTATTTGAAACATCTAAGTATTCAAGTTGCATAAGATTCTCAAAATCTGAAGGGATTTGCCCTGTGAACTTATTTCCATGAAGATCCAACGTTGTCAAGTATGAAAGGTTGCCCAATGTTCGTGGAAGGACACCCTCAAAATAGTTATTACTCAAATTCAAAGTTTCGATCTTCCATGTCATGGAACTAGGGAAAAGTTCAACAACCTGACCAGAAAGCTTGTTCTCCTGTACATAAAGCCCGACAAGATTCAACATGTTGGACAGAGAAGAAGGAAGATCACCATCCAACTCATTAGAACTTAAATCCAAATGAGTGAGAGCTTTCAGATCACCAAGAGTTCTTGGAACTGAACCAGATATTTTATTACCAGTCAAGTTCAACTTTACCAAGCTACTCAAATGACTGAAGCTTTCGGGGATTGTACCCACCAGGTGATTATTCCATAGATACAGGCCCTGGAGCTTGAGAGCATTGCCGATCTCTGTGGGAATAGGACCAGTAAGCATATTGCTAGACAAATCCAAGGTTGTCAGGTTCGATAAGTGAGAGAGAGATCTAGGAATCTCTCCAGAAAGTATATTATTATTCAGCAAAAGATCAACTACAACAACACAATTCCCCAGTTCATCAGGTATGGTACCAGACAATCTATTATGAGACAGATCGAAAACACCATGATGCTGAACAAAGCTCAAATCAGGAATAGTAACCTGTCGAAAATAAGCAGAGGGCTTGGAAGGTATGGCTCCAGATAACATGTTGTGTGACAGAACTAGACACTGTAATTCAGTAAGGTTAGCAAGTCTTTCAGGAATCAACCCATTTAGACTATTGTTTCCAAGGTCCAACGTGGTAAGTGAAGTGCAATCTGCAAGCATGGCAGGAATAGTTCCTTCAAGCAGATTGGAATTCAAATTTAGAACTGAAAGAGCTGTGAGATTTCCAATCTCATCTGGTATACCGCCTGTCAACCTATTGCTGCTGAGAACAAGCCTCTCAAGTGAAGCTGCATAGCCAATTTCTGAAGGGAGATGACCCTCCAACAGGTTATTTGCGGCAGAAAACTCCATCAAATCCACTGAGTTCCATATATTTCTAGGTAAAGAACCGGTAAAATTATTAGAGTCAAGGTTGATTACCATTAAGGAAAGGTTTGAGAAGTACTCTGGTATTGCCCCAACAATCTGATTGTCTACCAAAACCAGCTGCGTAAGGTTTCTACACAGCACAAATGTATCGTCAATCGTACCCGAGAGGAAATTGCTGTCAAGATCAATCTCCATCAAGGATGCAGCATTACAAATTTCTTTAGGTATTGGACCTGTCAACAAGTTATTGCTCAAACTCAGGTGATTAAGCATCGAGCAATTTCCAATCTCAGGAGGGATTTCCCCCATGAGATGATTACTCGAGAGTAAAATAGAATCAACATGATCCCATTTGCCAAGCCAGGAAGGTAATGGCCCAGAAAGCTGATTCTTCTCAGCAGAAAATGTCAACATGGGAAGCTCTGAAAGCTCTTGTGGCAACACCCCAGATAGAAAGTTGAATGAAAGCATCAATGTTTTCAAATTTCTGCACCTCCCGAGCTCAGCAGGAATAGAACCATTAAGCTGAGTGTAAACCAGATTCAATATAGTTAAGTTCTGTAACTCACCAATCGATTTCGGGATAGAACACCCAAGTGGGTTGTATGAAAGGTCCAGTTTGCTCAATGATTTCAACTTGGATAGTTCGTCAGGTAATGGACCAGTTAAAGAACAAGAAGGCGAAAAAAAGTTCTCCAGCAATACAAGGTTACCAACTTCAGGAGGCAACTCACCGGAAAAGTGGTTAATGCCGATATAAAGATCAGTCAAATGCTGTAGGTTTCCAATTTCAGGTGGGATTGAACCCGAAAACGAATTGTTTGAAATGTCCAGAGACGTTAAAGATTTAAGGTCAGTAAAGATATTCAATGGGAGTGAACCTGATAAAAGATTGTTACCGAGGTCCAGTGATAAAATCCTCGTCAGGTTTCCGATGTGGGGCGGGACATTTCCGACGAAGGCATTGCTGGAGAGGTCAAGGGTCCGTAGCAGCTTCAAATTTCCAAGCTCCGGCGGGAGTTTACCTGTGAATAAATTAGTCCCCAACTTGAGATTCTCCAACTGAGTCAACTCGGTGAGCTCGATTGGGAGATCACCGGAAAGCTGATTATCGCCGAGAGCGAGCACCTTCAAGCTCCGAAGATTGGATATCTGAGGTGGGATTGAGCCATAGAGAAAGTTGTTTGAAAGGTCAAGAACAGAGAGACTCGAAATGTTGAAAAGCGACCGAGAGAGTTGGCCTTTGAGCGAAAGAGATGAAAGAGAGAGCTGTGTAACTCGACCGAGTCGGCATGAAACTCCAGTCCAAAAGCAGTGAGGAAGTGATGAGTTCCATGGCAGAATTTCGGAGGTCTCTAGCGAAGCTTTGAAAGAAATCAAGCTTTCCCTGTCGATAATAATCTCATTCTGGTCTATAATACCATTGGAGCTCAAAATGCAGAGCTCGAAGTAGACGATGAAAATGAGAAGGAAGCGTGTCAACTCCATACCCATATGAAAGATTATGATAATGTCAATATTTCAAACCACGACTGCACAAGAAATGAAGATGGGCAACCTTAACTTCCATGGCTGTGGCAGAGAGAGATGAAACGAAGGGGAAGAAGAAGAAGAAGAAGAAGAAGAAGGTTACGCGCCATAGCTATAACGCAGCATTGAAAGGACTATGGCAAAAGAAGGTTGGTCAGAGAGGAGGCGCAGCTCACATGACTTGAAGGATGGTATGGCAACGGCAATTCTGTTTTTCTTCTACTTCAGGCCCTCCAAATTCCCTCATATTACTTTTGGGTATTTATTTTCAAGTCCTCCAAGACCTCAAGAAATTTGAAAAGGGGTCCCTCATATTACTTTTGGGTATTTATTTTCAAGTCCTCCAAGACCTCAAGAAATTTGAAAAGGGGTCCCTCATAACACTAGACCAAGTCATAAATTCAAGGTTTTGTGGAAGACAAACAAAACAAAGCTATGTATTGGGGGATTAAAAAAGCAGTCTTTTTGTCACTTCCATTCCCTTTTCTTTGTTGTTTATTCATATTTTGATAAAAGTATTGGTTTTTAGGGTTATGGAATAGGGAATAGGGAATAGAGAATAAAAATGAAAGCTTTTTAGGGTTTGTGGGTTTTGCAAATGCTCCCACCATTGTTGGCTGTGATTTCAACCCCCTAATACCTTATTCCTCCTATATGCATTTATTCCAATCTTTTATGTTAAATTATTGTGGAAAGAATCAAAATTGGTCAAAAGGGAAGAGAGAGCGACAATTATTTTGTCAGCTATAGACTTGTGCTTGTGGGTTTTAGGGTTTGGATGCTTTTTTTTTTTTTTTTAATTATTTTTTACATGCTTTTTATTAGGTCACAAATACCCCAAAAGGAGGGCTCATTTGTGTGCATATCAGCATATATTATAATGCATGGGATAGGTAGAAAGTCCTCAAATAAGTGACACAGAGTTTCAATTACAATTTGGATTCCACTCCAGATAATAACAACTCTTATCCCCTAATCTTTTTAGACTTGCTTCCTATTTTTTTATTTGTCGTAATAATTTACCAACAAATTACTTCAAAATTGGATTGAAAAGAAGACGGATGGGATTCATTTGGGCTTTTTCATGTCACCGACTAAACGTTATTATTATGAACAGTTGTAGTGATTTTCCCGAGAAAATCCGAGAGAAAAAAGAAAATCACGTAAAAATCTTCGGTCATCGCCGAAACTTGATGATTTTCAGAGAACCCCCATGCATGTCATTAATACTGATGAACACAGCAAAACAAAAAGGGTGAGAGAGAGATTGTTGTCGCTCATAACATAATACAGATTTTCCGGGAAAATATTTGTGGGCATGGAGGGAAAAAGCAACAGAGAAAGAGAAAAAATGCAAAAAAGAAAAAGTCGATTGTTTTAAAGGGTGGGGAGTGGCAGGCCCAGCAGTGGCAATTAGCGAGCATTTCAGGAAACATGCAGAGCAAGTGCAGTCTGAGAGGAAGAGATCTGTGAACAGAGCATTGATCGTTGAAAGGGAAAGGGGAAAATTTAAGACAGGGCAGGAAAAGGGTATTGAAGTATTGGGATTTTGGAAGGGATATCATTGTGATTGTGAAAGGACGTTGCGTAAGTGAACCAAAAGTTGAAGTTATGTGTTGTTCTGCGGTTTCTCATTTTTCCATGGCTGCCATTGCCATCCCCTTCACATACCTACCCACTTCTCTGTACTGCTAAGTATGGTTCTGTAAGTTTGATGGGACACACAAAACTGGTAGTAGTTGGGATTGGGAACTTGTATTATTAAACTTATTAAACAAATTAAAGGTAAGTCTTTGTTTAAATGACTCGCGTTTGTCTCTGAAGATAATTCTTCACTCTTAGAACCGACTTGGATTTCATATTCTAGACATAGGTCATTACAATTATACTATACAACTAATATGAAATGACTTTTCCGATGTTTTGTTCGTTCTATTTCGTGTTTGTTGGTTGTCGACCAAGAATGATCTTGTTTTTGTTTTAAATGTTCAATCTATACAGCAAATAAAAGTATGTGGTTAGGGTAATTTTTTGAGTGTAGAGGGTAATTTTAGAAAAAATAAAAAACAATAACTTTGAGTAAATCATCTATATGGGCCTTTCATTTTGGACTTTGCAGTGCGATGAAATGGGGGCCCATCTTATCCACATCACTACTTCAGAAAATAAAGGCCCATCATTACTTGATTGGACCCAAAGACTGATCTTAATTTGACAACTCCACGATCAGTATTCAGGCCCATGCAACTCGGCCCATCAACTATGCACAATTTTAACATTAAACTGAAAATATTAGCGATTAATTTTGTTCTGGAATATATTGATTTTTTTAGTATAAATAATGGATATATATTTTTTAACTAAAAACATAATGCAATTTAAAAAAAAAAAATCAAAATTCTTATCATTCAATGGTTGTGTTTATTTCAAACTTAAAATCACTTATAAAAATTATTCGATAGATTTATGATTTGTTTGTTTGGCTATTCGTACTAAGATATTGAGATGCTTGAAAACAAAGTTTACCTAGATAATTTGACACTCGGCATAAAAAGTAAAAATAAAAAATAAAAAAATAATAAGAGTATACTATTATTTGTGCGAGTTCAAATTTAAAAAATGCAATTTACATTAAAAAAATATAATTTACAATAAAAATACTATCGTTTTGAAAAGAAAAAAATGATAAAAATCTTGATATTGTCTTTGAAATTAAACATTTCTTAGAAACAATCTACCGCCATTAGAAAGGGTGAATCTTTCAAATCAATCCCAACTCTCAGTTTTGACGAATGATAATTGTGTAACGGGTTGAAATTCATTTTGATTAAGATTGACGTAAAAAAAAAAGATAGGAAAAGCATCTTACAATAATGATAATTGATATAACTTAAAAGAATAAATTATGGAATATTTAAATTTTTTATTTTTTATCTGTAATTTTTTAAAATTAAATTTAAAAATATGATAATAATTTCACTATTAAATAGATAAAAAGCTAAGTAATTTTAGGATGAGCCTGCCACTTCTTAAAATTAAAATTAAAAAAACGGGTTAAAATATTATTTTAATACTGTTTAATTTTATTTTTTTTTAATGAAATTATTGTTATGTTTTTGCTAATTAATAATTATTAACCTCTAATCAGAAATCTTCTTAAACCGTAAAATTCAAAGATTATCCATAAAAACAAACTCATTTAATAGCAATATCTTATTGCTAATTTAAATGAAATACACGTGTCAAAAATGACTGCATTGAGATTAGAAACAACCCTTGCAAATCTTGCCACGTAGCTGATTTGACTCAAATTCGGATATATATTCTGGATGACTAGGTAGCTGATTTGACCACGTGTCAATCCATCAATATTATTATTTTTTCTTTTTCACAAGGTCAACATTAACTACCATTTTCCGTCTTTTTCTCTTTCATTAATCCACTTCTTTTATCTTTTAATATTTAAAATTTATCGTCCATTTTACTGTTTTAATATCTAATATTTAAAATGCTTCGTTCGCTCTCTAAATAGATATTATAAATCTCATAATAAAAACGGTACATAACGAGTTATTTAATATTTATATCTTATTAAATCGGTGAGTGTAATGGGATATTTGGCACTGCGAGTGAAAAAAAACAAGTTATTGGTGGAGACCTACATGAAAAAAAAAGTTTAAAATTCTCATTTTTGAAGGAAAAAAATAATAATAAAAAAAAAAGGTGGCGGCGGTCCCAAGTGATAATTCAAACAAGAATTTTTGAATTAACGCACAATTGTTTCTTTTTCAACGCAATACGTGTCAAGTTTAGAGTGGCTGATTCGATTCGTTTAATTGTGTGCCCCATTTAAAATCTTCCCACGCTTGTCCCACCAAAACCTCTTCTATTCTATTGTTTTTTTTTTTAAAAAAAAGAATATCAACTTATATATGTTGGATAATGAAAGTCCCACATCGGTTAATTTAGGGAATGGTCATGGGTTTATAATCTAAGAATACACTCTCCATTGGTATGAGGCCTTTTGGGGAAGCCCAAAGCAAAGCCATGAGAGCTTACGCTCAAAGTGGACAATATCATACCATTGTGGAGAGTCGTGTTCGTCTAACATGGTATCAGAGCCATGCCCTAAACTTAGCCGTGTCAATAGATTGGCAAGGCAAATCCTTAAATGTCGAACAAAGGACTCCAAAAGGAGTCGAGCCTCGATTAAGGGGAGGCGTGCTTTGTTCGAGGGGAGGTGTTGGATGATGAAAGTCCCACATCGGTTAATTTAGGGAATGGTCATGGGTTTATAATAATGGTATGAGGCCTTTTGGGGAAGCCCAAAGCAAAGCCATGAGAGCTTACGCTCAAAGTGGACAATATCATACCATTGTGGAGAGTCGTGTTCGTCTAACAATATATATATACTAAGATGAGATGTATTTTCCCTTGAATAATGTTCATATTCGACGTGTTAGTTTTGAATTGTTCGTTTTTTTTTATTTTAAATTAATTTTTGTTTATAGGAACCAATTATAAGTTTATATATATAAATTAGTTGTTAAAAAAAAAAAATTAATTCTTAAGACGTGACATGTTTATAAATTTATTACTAAAAAGTGAAATTGATAATCAAAAGCATTGGAATATATATACATGCATAGCATATGCCATTATATATGCTTATGTATATTTAATGATATGAATCAAAATCAGTTCTATTCGTTTTCTAAATTTTTAAAACGCCAATTTAGAACGGTAAAATAGTATTTTTTTCCTCCTCCTCTGTTTACTCTATCATCCCGACACAAACATTTTTATTTGTATTGTATATTATGTTTTATATGTCACATTAGGATTATAATTCCATTTGATAAATTAAATAATTAATCAGTTTGAAAAGGAAAAAAACCATAATATACAATGAACATAGAGAAGCACATCGAAAAGAGAATGGAATCCCATTTGTCAAAGATATTGTATTATAAAGTGAGTGAATAAAAATAATATATTCTCACTCAAATATAACTTTCATTTCTTTAACTTTTAGCTGATAATAAGAATAAATCTCTTACAACCAACTCACCCGCATATCTTATATTTTTATTCAATATTGGGTTTTAAAACACACTTGTTAGAGAGAGATTTCTACACTGTTATAAAGATTATTTTGTTATCCTTTCCAACTGATGTGGGACTTAAGACGGTAATGCAATACGATGTTAGGGTAAATTTAAAGGGAATCTAAATTGTGAGATGGGGTTGAAAATGAGTGTTGATATTACATACACCCACTCCTATAAATACCATCATCTCCTTCTCCAACAAACCACAATTATTTGAAGGTGGAATAAGAAGCAATAGTAATAGTAATATATAAATGATGTCAAGGGGTGTAATAGAGCCACTTATTGTGGGAAGAGTGGTGGGCGACGTGGTTGATTTGTTCTCTCCAAATGTGAAAATGAGTGTGGTTTACAACTCCACCAAACAAGTCGCCAATGGCCACGAGCTTCCCCCTTGTTTTGTTTCCTCTAAGCCACGCGTTGAGGTCGGTGGCGACGACATGAGATCGGCTTTCACTTTGGTATCTCATTTCCCCCGCCCTTCATCACTTCATTTCCTTTCATTTTAGTGTTTTAAGTAAGTAATTCATTATCTTGTTAGATTATGATCGACCCAGATGCTCCAAGCCCCAGTGATCCTTTTCATAAGGAATACCTTCACTGGTTTGTGCTCTAAAAAGCTTTCATGTTTTGTGTGTGTGGGTGTGTATGAGTGAAATATAAGCATGTGCGTGTTTATTGTCTCTCAGGATGGTCACGGACATTCCTGGAACCACTGATGCTTCTTTCGGTATGCTACTACTTCCTCCCCTCATTTCTTCGTCTCAAAATTTCCTACGGTTTCTTAATTTTCATACGGTTGACGCAGGAAAAGAGATGATGAGTTACGAGAGTCCAAACCCGCTCATTGGGATTCATCGTTATGTGTTCGTGTTGTTCAAGCAGCATGGGCGGGAGATGGTAAGATTATCATCGTCTTCGAGACAACATTTCAGCACAAGAAAGTTCTCAGAGGCGAATGGTTTGGGGCTTCCAGTGGCCGCAGTTTACTTCAATGCTCAGAGAGAGAAAGGCACAAGAAGAAAATGATATAATGTATTGTGAAACTGCCTAAGAAGCTTAGTTAGTGGTCATTAATATTGTGTTTTCATTAAGGCCTTTGTTCTCCATCTCTGTTTCTTGTCTCTTAAGGTTCTTGTATTGTCTATTGCGAATAAATTCTCTGTTTGGCCCCCTCAAATTTGTTGTTCCAATTGGACTATAATTTTGTGTTCATAGTTGGACTATAACTTTGATTGTTTACCCTTTTTTTTTTTTTTAATTTAAACCCATATTCTCTCCATAAGCTTTAAATTATATTATTTGATTCCCAAGTCAAAATTGATTCTTCGTTCATTCTATTCTCAATTCCACGGATATTATTTCATTCTTCTATATTAAATTATCAAAACTTATCTTTAAAGTATTCCTTCACACGAGATGATCGACGAATCTATTTGAAATCTCCATCTTTAAATTGATACGAGATATTATACTTTAATCAATATACTCTAAAACCCCATATCTAATTATCCTTTTGCTCTCGGGTTTCTAACTCTATCGACCCCGAAAGGTTAGAAAAATTACTTTTCCTTTTATAAAAAGGATGCTGTGATGATTATTATTATTATTATTATTTTTAAATTTTTGTTTAGTTTTAGCAATTTTCGAAAGATGGACGATAAAAGGAGATTACTGAAGGTTTGAAAAGGAAAGAGAGAGGGATACAAATTGAGATGAAAAGTGTCCTATGGCTACACAATGCTATGCACATAATTGAAGTAGGGTTGGGGGTGTGTGTAAGAATCTGATTGGTTGGCATTATTTAGTAGGGTAACTTTAAGGATCCAATTGGTGACAGGCAGCGTCTATAGCTAAGTGGTCCTAAATGGATACGTGGCAGCCAATGAGATGGGTTCTGACGGCGTGTCTCTGTCACCACCCAATCAGTGAACAGTGAGCATATAAATGTTTTGCTGCTGTTTTCTCCCAAAGTTCCCCAACTTTATTGTTATTATCATTTTTTTTTTTAATTTTATAATTTGGGCGGCGGACAAAGAGGCTTCCTCCACTTGCATGTGACATGTATTTCCTCAAATCAATCAAATGAAATGTTTACACCATGGGAACATATCACTTGAAGAAGTATTATTAATTTCCAAAATTTTGAACATTTTAATTTTATTAATCTTACTTAACCATTTCTTAGTTTAAATCTTCACCAAATCAAAATATATAAATATTAACTAAATAATTAAATATTCAAATTAATTGTTTAATTATACCATCGCCAACAATTTTAGAAAATGAAAATAATATACGTATATTTTGTTGGGAAGTGAAATGGAGATAGAAAGAGAAAATAGGCCCACAGAGCCCATCTTAAGAAAATTTGGGCCTTGGATGGATGAGTTTAAGTAGGTTAGTTCTAGTGGGCCTTATTGGGCCTTTGTGAACCACGTTTTATATTTTCTGTTTCCTTTCAAATATTTTATTGTTGGATTGTTTCTTTGTGAATCGTGCTGAGTCGGAATTCCATGGAGATCCCCAAACGGAAAACGAGAGAGGGAGTGTAGAACATTTTTTCCTCGTTAGATAAATGAGTCTCTGCCCGGCTTAAATAAATATATTTTTAACGAAATAACATAAAATTTTGCAAGAATGAGAATGAAATATTTGGTGGAGATGGAGACGGAGAAGGCTTCTCCATCTCCACCCACACCCTGTTCAATAGACATCTCTATTTGTGAGTATCCTATCCATCACACGCGTCGTCGTAAGGGTGGCTCACAAATTTGTAAGCAAAACCAAACTGTAGCCATTTTTTGGGATGGAGAAACAAGTACATAACTACAACTCAAACAGTTTCACAATACACCAAGAAAACAACTCAAGACAAACGTCAGACAAGTTCTCCACACTGGTCATCAAGTCAATACCCGAACCGAATCGAACCACCCACCCAACCAACTAGAACAATATAGACTTGTATAAACCCGAAACAAAATCCCAAATTCACGGTTCGTTCTTGACTAGAAACCTCTGTTTCGACAGTTCTCTGCCTGAGCCTACCATCTTTCCCATAAGCTTTGCATATGAGCCTACCCTTACCTGTCTGACAAAAGAGAAAATAAAGAAGAAAAAAAAAAAAGGCACCAAAAGCTTGCTTTCTGAGCAAGCATTATTATGATACTTGAAGGGCAGTTTTGATCTTTCGAATGGTGCAAAAAATGAGATTGTTAACCGTCTCAACCGACTCGACCGTGAGTTTGGCCGTTGGAAGACTATTCACCAGAATCTGGAATGCTACTGTGAGCAGACATCCATTATCATGCCCACTGTTCATGCCTGACTTCATTGATGCGTCTTTGTCGTTGTTTGTAGCATTGGGGAGAATTGCAAATCCTGATGGTAATAGCGATACATAAGCGGAATCTCCTCCACGCATCATCAAACTAACCGAGGCTGTGTCGACTGGAGTGTAAACAACCAGTGAGCCTGATATATCAGTCCAAGTCTCTTGCAATATGAACATGGTGCTCTCATTAGCTTTCATGGGCTGCAAAACATGAATTTCAATCTTCAGGATAACAACTCAACAATACCAATCAATTTATAGACACAATTCAAGATCGCTCACATTAGCACGCAGGAGAGAAACACGGTTATCCGCATCCTGGCCTTTCGAGATGCGAACCATCTCTAGCATTGGCCTACTGTTGGATAAAATATCCCACTCACTCCGAAAGTGATCATCTTGCAAGAATGCAAACAACCTCTGCTGAGTAACAGGCATCCAAACTGAAGTTGCAGCACTCAACACGATACCCGGTGGCTCGCCAGGCTCGTTGATGCTCTTTCTAGCCATCACTTTTACATCTTCACTAATATTACCAACAACCAGCTTGTCCCACTTATGTAAACTTGAACTACAAAGCCCCGAACAGAATTTATCCACCATACGCTGCGATAGCTTCAGCATACTTCTTCTACCGCCCGGAGATATTCCTGTTTTATATCACAAATGTAAGAACGTGAAAGCAAACACACCGTGCAAGGATCGAGTAACGAGAAAAAATGAGACCTGCAGGATCTTCAGTGGGAATAGTAGAAGACATAAGAATCGCCAAACATTCGCATTGTCTTTGAAGGTTAGCAAGCCACCGTTGTGAACCGAAACCGATGCCTGAACTAATTAACTGGCGGTAAAGCTGGTGTATAACAGTCTCATCATATTCTGTATGCTCCACCCATGTTACCTACAACTAACAAACCATCCATGAATATGGTGACACCAAAGAAGAGGAACACAGTGAGATTGAGAGGATTAAAAACCTCGACATCTTGGTTGAGATTATGTGCAGCTTAAACTAGTTGAGTTATGCTTAAATTGGCTGTTAAATACTATTTTTTAAACCACGTTCAGCCCACATTCTCGCTTAGTATCTCCATCAATCCTTAAAGTTGCTTGAAGATTGAGGAAGGTAAGAGGAGTTTCAGGAGGGAGACTTTGAACAGCAAAGAATCACGAAGATCCTTATAGAATAAGTTCAGAAATCAATGTATTCCGAAATCTTGACCAGCAGATTTCACGTAGTACTTTAATACATGAAACGGCTGTCTCGTAATTTTAAAATGAAGACAAAACGTCAGCGTGTCTCCTGAGGTTCTATGTTAGATGTCAGTAGACCAGATCTAGGTCATACACTCCCGTGGACCGAAAACAAAACAGCATCGATAACGGGCACAGAAGCAAGGCATCAAACAAAAACTAGATTAATATATTCATAAAAGGGTGCAGATTCCTAAGCTAAATACTATACTATATCTCAAAAAGCAGCCCATTATTGTGGATGATATTGATAAATAAGTCATGTTTGGGTGTGGCTGCTGGAGGAAATCCATGTTCCCAAGTGCATCATATTTTAATCTCTAACAGACTTGAAAGGAAAGAAATTTGAAGCTCGCAATTACCTTGGAGAAACCATTAGGCATATCTTCCACAACACAGCCTGAAGGGAGCCTCCTGCAACCGAGAAACGTGTTCGAATCCGAACCTTCTCCAATGGAAACATCAACTACAGCCCATAAACCATCAGCAAGCTGCCTGCAGAAGCGAAGGAACTTAAGCGTACGCACGGGAACCAGCGGGGAAAGTACTCGGAGTTCAGCATTCATCTGAATAAATGAATGTTCGTTAGTTTATATACGTATTACCCGCACATTAATGTAGTGAGAAAAGGGGAGGGCGGGGCGCATAGAGAGATACCAATTGTAATGCACCGTTTCTAGTTCCACACATGCCACTAGTTATCACGTCGATTGTCGTAGCTCTAGCAATCAAGCAAGGAAACATTTCTGCCCACCGGTTCTATTTTAAAGCCAAACGAACAATCTGTTAGTCTCTCATCAAAGCATTTTAACAATCAGTATGTTTTAGCATTAATCTATTATAAAAAGGCGAAAATACATACTGCATCCATCAACGTCTCGACAAGTGCCAAGCTGTTGATGATGACCATTGTAGAATCTCTGGTGGCCTCTGTTGTCCAATTAATGTGCTTCATGCCAGCTGAAGAAGGAAAAGTCCTTGAATATTCATCAAGGTTCAACGTCTCTCTGCTACCACCATCCCGACTTCTGATCCAAAGGGGGGCATCCGTTTGAGCCATCTCAACTAATTCATTCATAGCTGCCAAAGCAAAATCCACATATATTGTTCTGTCAAGTGGTATATCATTGCCTGAGACGCCTATTTCGGGCTTACTAATAGGCATCACAGGGCCAGCACCGAAATGTCCGTTTCCCAGCCCCATAGAATCAGAAACGGTACTCGACCTTCCGATTCCACTTCTTCCAACAGACAGTTCCAAGCAAGAGTCAGAACTTGGTGAGGAGCCCTGATTGCCAAAGGGTGAAGAAACTGGCCAGCCCAGGAACTTGTTGGTGACAGTATATAACCGGTGCAGTTTCTCTCTTAATCTGGCATTCTCAATTCTAAGATGGTGTTCTTCAAATGATAGATGACCAGGAATTGAAGGGCCACCACAAGTATTGCATGTTGGATTAGCAATAGCATCCTTCATCACACTATTCTCGGCTCGGAGCTTATCATTTTCTTGCTTAAGAATTGCATTCTCATGGCGTTCTATTTGTGTCTGATACGTTTTCAAACATCGTACATTACATTACCTTCTTTGCCACAAAATTTTACGAACAACAGGATATGCAAATGCACAAGAATAATGGTTAGCTGTTTACCTTCATCTGTGTTCGACGATTTTGAAACCAAAACTTCACTTGCTTTGTCTCCAAACACAGCCTCCTACTAAGTTCACTTCTTTGTTTATCATCAGGATGAGGGCATTCCTTGAAGAAACTAAACCAAACAACAAAAAGAAAGAAAAAGAAATCAAATTACTACGCACGTGCTACCGAAAGCCAAAACAATCAAAAGAGCAGATTAAAAGATGTACATCTCAAGCTCTTGGATCTGATGGGGAGTATGCCTATGGTACTTCTTCCCTTTTGGTTGTTGTTCGTCGTTAGCGTCTTGATCGTCCCCAGATAAAGCACCATCAATGTTGTCGCTGCCTGATCTGCTATCATATTCATCTTCCCTCATCCTCACAGCTCCGCTCGGATCAAAGCCATCTCCAAGCAGACACACTTCACCATAACCATCCATTTTCCTCTGCAACAAAAACCAATCAACAATTCATTTGCGGACAAGAAAGGATCCTAAAACTAATGCATAACACAAAGATACTAGAAATCAGTGATACACATGAAATTGGAACAAAATGGTTGATGAAAACAACGAAGCGACACACATGGAAGTGGAACAAAATGGTTCATACTGTGGAAGTGGAGAATTCAGAGGAGCTGGGAATTGAACTGGGAATAGGCATGATGATGAGGTTGTATTAGCCACGGCTCTAGATTTCAGATCAAACCCTCCAAAATTCAACAGATTTACACAATTATTTCCTTTTTTGTGTAGGGATTCCAGGTTTGCTTAAAGGCTTAAAAAATGGGAGTTCTAAGAGATAGAAGTAACCGTCTAGTTGATTTCTGGGTTTGACTATAGTAAAGTAATGAGACATTGAGCACAAACGGACACCAAAGTCTACATTTCTCAATAGAAAACAGAAAGTTAAAGCTTTTTCCGCGTCAACGCCCATGCATGAATCGCGACTTTTTTCACCTCTCTGTCTCAACTTTTGAACACTTTCTCCGTCCAGAAAATCAGTTGCACAACAGTACAAAACCCAAGAGGAACAGGACAAAAAAAGTCCTCTTTTTCCTCGTTTCCATCCAGTTCATATCTCTCTACCAAAGAAGGCCGATGCAGTATGAAACAATACCCTAACATTCAACATTCTTGACCCCATATTTGTCAGACCCAGATTGAGAAAAGAAGAAAGAACCCAACAAGAAGCCAAAGGAAGACAAGAACGCCAAACAAAGAGGTTGCACGCTTTTGTTTTCGTCTCTGTTTTCATATTCACACTGTACTCCATGAAATTTACATTACTAAAGATGAAAGACGTAGAAAAGAGAAACAACCCATTGTTCTTCCTGTATCAGAGAAGCGGAAATGGAAGAAAAAAGTAGGAAGTGCATGCAAAAAGTGAGACCTTTTAGATTGCTTAAACGTGAGACAGTGAAAGGCAGAGAGAAAGGGAAGAAGAACAGAGTTCCGCCAAGAAATTAATGGAATGGAAGTTTCAGATTGTCGCGATGGGATCGGTGGAGGAGACAAAGACGTATAAAATATTCATAAAATCCTTCTCTGGTGGTGAGCTGAGCTTGATTGTCACTGAAGATGATGAGATTAAGACCCACAAATTAAAAATTCAAAGACAGTAACTTTATTAACTTCTGTAGCCGACTTACACAAAATCAAATCTTAAAAGAACACTCAAATGGGTGTCCTTCATACTATTATTTATAATCTTCTTTGAATCATAAATACGTTTGCTTTAGAATGCCCAAGTGACTACTAGTTTTTCCTTCGATGTGTATAAATTATATAATATAATACAATATATTAATTATAAAAAAAGGCATATTTAATACCCAAATCTCAGTTTTTGAGAAAATGGAATATACCTTTTAACACAGACGGTTGTGGAACCCACAAACGTCTGATTGGTTGTCCTCTGTCGTGTTACGGACTGGGGGATCAGGTGTGTGCAGAACTACGTTAAGCTGGTGTTGTTCCCAAGTTATTTTCTCAACAATTAAATATCCTCCAATTTTACATTTTTTTTCCAAAACTTTTTTTTAAAAAAAAAAGGTTATTTAGTGAAATTTTTTAAAATTCACGGATATAGATGTATTTTTCCATCCAAAACTAATAATAAATTTATTTTTTTAGACTTATTATTGAAAGTTTATGAATATTTTTATTAATTTGGTGAAATGTAAACCGATGAGGTTGAAATTTTTAATTTTGTAGCGTTGGTTTGAGACGCATTAAAAGTTGCTATTTGTGCTTGGTAAGGAAATGTAGCTAGATAAATGCTAAATTTCAAACCAAAGTTATAAACGGTAGCTATCTCAAATAATATGTAATTGAGGTCTTAGAACTATATGGCAAGCAGAAATAGTGTAAGATGTACCAAAAAGAGCTCGAAAATTAAAGTTTAAGCGTTTTAAAAGAGACATGAACCTTCTATAGTCCGATTGAGAAAGTCTTAAATTGTGAGATCTCACGTTAGTTGAAGTGGAAACAACGTATTTGGCCTCACTAGCTCCTGAAGAGAGTGAACTGATTGGGCCTTCACTCCCAATAAATACATTTCATTAAAGCTCAAAAGGGCTTCATCATCACGCCCATTCTGAGCATACCCAGATATCAAAGCAGCCCAAAAAACTACAATCGACTTTCCATTATCAGGGTGAATTCCATGAACCCCCGCGCCGAAATAAAAAGAAGGAAAAAAAACCCGCCATTTAATCAACCCTGAAACTAGTTTCCTTGCATCAGCTTACGCAGAGGGACGAAATGAAGGGCAAAGATTCGAAAGAAGAAAAAAAAAAAGAAACAATCTTTGAAGATTTCGGCTGGTGGAGAGTTGGTGCGTTGCGTTTGATTTCACGTCGTAAACGACATATCGTCTCATTGGCTTGCAAGTAGCAAAACCGTTGGCGACCCCACTCCCGAGTCCCACACGAACTGGGGTGAAGAAAAAACGCGCAAGTGGTTCAGATTAACCGCGAAAGGAAACTTCTTGTAGTGGGACGAACTGTGGGGAATCAACAGAAAGTGAAACCCCACGTACCCAGAAACCTAATACGCCATTTTCGTTCGCAATTCGATCAAAATGCAACCCACACCCTCAACCCTCCACTTGTAGATTCAACGAAGATCTCAATTCCCACACTCGAATTCTATTTTTTAACTGATCGATCTTGCGAGGGCGTATAAGATCGAAATGCAGAGGATCCCTGATCACTATGGCAGTTGATCTCTCTTCCTTTTCACTTCATAAAGACCCTTCACCAAACCTCACCATCCCGAGTCACCCGCATCCAATTTCCGATTCAGGGGGAGACGGAGTTTCAGAGAGAAAAAAAGTATGGCGAGGCAGGATATTGAGAGCAGGGAAGTGGCTGGGGGAGTCGCGAAGAACAGAGGAAGTACTAGCTTTTCCTCTTCCTCTTATGTGATTGAAGATACCGAAACCCAATGGACTTCATGGCTTGTTCCTATGTTTGTTGTGGCTAATATTGCTGTGTTCATTGTGGTTATGTATATCAATAATTGCCCCAAACATAATGATGGTCTCGAGGGGAAGTGTGTGGCAAGGTTTCTAGAGAGGTTTTCTTTTCAGCCTTTGAGGGAAAATCCTCTCTTCGGCCCTTCTGCTGCCACGTAAGACTTCTTTTACTTCCCTTGTTATATTCCACTTGTGTTAGAATTTGTTATCATCGCGTTGCTTGTTTGAGAAATGGAATGTTATTTTGAATATGGGGTTTGATTAGTTGTAGTTGTGTAATTAAGTTTTGATGTTTATTCTGAAGTTGTTTCTTGCTTAACCATTGTTATTATGTGGTTTTGTCTAATTTGCTTGGTTTACTTATAATTAAAAGCCCTGCGATCAATAGTTTCAGAGGACTTTTGCTGAATTATTGCTTGGGGCACGGTTGGGTCTTAATCAGAATCTCATTAATTGCTTCTGTTTATTGAATTTCTGATAGATTTGTGGGGCTTTGATTTCTTTTGTACTTCTTCACAATGCCTTCTGAATTATGATTGACTCGTCCAAGTAACTTTATAGATGGGCAGCAGGGAGAAAAATGCATATTAGTTAGCATTGAAGAAGGCTTTTAGATACATTTTCTTCTAAACTTGAGCTAAGTGGTGAACTTTCTTGGTCTTAAGATGGACGATTGGAATGTCTTTCAAACTTGAAAAGAACCAACAAATATGGAGTTCTTTCTTTTATTGCAGATTGGAGAAGATGGGAGCTCTAGAGTCGACTAAAGTTGTGAACAAACATCAAGCATGGAGGTTGATTACCTGTATCTGGTTACATGCCGGCGTCTTTCATCTCATTGCTAACATGCTATGTCTGGTCTTTATTGGCATTCGCCTAGAGCAGCAATTCGGGTTTGGTATGTGCTGTTCTTTCCTTTATGAACTTAATCTTCTCAATAAGGTAATCGTTGCTTTTAAAAGTTTCTAGTCTTCTATTCAAATGCAATTTAGATTCTTCTTCAGATGGTTAAAATATCTACTTCCATCCATTTCCTTTTCATATATTATATGGAGATCCTTGCCAGATGCATTAACATATAGCATATTACCCATATAATAATTTATTGAGAGGCTGTTCTTGGAGAATCAAGCCCATAGCGTATACTGTGAGATCCCACGTTGGTTGGAGAGGGGAACGAAACATTCTGTATAAGGTTGTGGAAACTTCTCCTAGCAGACGCCTTTTAAAAACCTTTAGGGGAAGCCCGAAAGGAAAAACCCTAGTGGGCTTGGGCTGTTACACATGCACTCTCTTTTCACTCCAAGAGAATAGCTCTTGTACTTCTTTTAAGGCTTACTTTTTTGTGGTTGAAGTATCTTTACTGCAAGCTGATTTTTTCCTGTAATCACTTGTGCAGTGCGAATTGGAGTTATTTACTTGGTCTCAGGATTAGGAGGGAGTGTACTGTCTTCTTTGTTCATTCAGAACAACATCTCTGTGGGTGCTTCTGGTGCTCTTTTTGGTCTTCTTGGAGCAATGCTTTCAGAACTGTTCACAAACTGGACTATCTATACCAACAAGGTTGTAGATTTTAGACAAGAGAGCCAACTGCATTACCTTTTACATAATAAATCCAACATAGTTTCTCTCGCGTTGTTTATGTTTGATCCTGTGATGTATTTGGTGCATCTTACTTCTATAGGCTGCAGCATTGATCACACTTCTGGTTATTATTGCCATTAATCTCGGGATTGGAATTCTGCCACATGTTAATAACTTTGCCCACGTTGGTGGATTTTTTACTGGATTTCTACTTGGATTCGTGTTGCTTCCCCGTCCCAAGTATGGATGGTTAGAGCAACGGAATCTTCCTGGTGGTGGAGTTGGTCTGAGTTCCAAATACAACACTTACCAATATGTTCTGTGGATTATTTCAGCAGTTCTACTGATTGCAGGGTAAGTCCATGCTCATATTTTCTTACGTAATCTCTGAAATTTATATATAGACATGGGAAGAGCACTGAATCAAAATGGTGATTTTGGCCTTGCTGCTTTTTTTATAATTGTCTTGATATCAGAACAAAATGAATCCTTTGCACAACTGCATACCAATTGGTTGTAAATATGCAGGTTCACCGTTGCGCTGGTGATGCTGTTCCGTGGGGAAAATGCGAACAGTCGCTGCCATTGGTGCCACTATTTGAACTGTGTTCCCACTTCAAGATGGAAATGTGATTAGCAATATCTTTAGAGAGATTTCATCATTTGGAGAATTAAATTTCTCCTGTAATTGTGCAGTTCATTAGAAATATATAGTTAGCACGTACAGTTTCTAGTTGCTTAGATGAACAATGGTAATGGTGCTATATGGAAGTATACGCTCTTGTTTATGGGTTGTGTTCTCATCACATGTAGTAATGGTTTGTATTGTTTCCAACAACTTTGGTGATTTATAAATATGAACAGATATATAAGCAAAAGCAACTGCTAGCCAAATACTGAATCATATCCCCAAACTCCTAATCTCTATGTTTCCCTAGGTTAAAACTTTATTGTCAAGGGTAATGCACATCAAACTGCAGAACAACTTTAGCCATAGGAGGCTCAACCGTTATAGCACTTGTCAAGAGCTGCTCGACCTTCATAATGTACGGTTTGCCCGACCTAGGAATGCCTTGCCTTGATGCAGTGATGAGACACAAAGATCTTGCTAATATCCTGGACCGCCTCAGCGATTTTAGTAACTTCCAAGTGAGACTCTTCATATTTCAACCGCAATGCCACTACTGAACAGCTACCACCTTACCTGGCTTTGGCAGGGCTTCAAATTTGATCTCAATTCCAACAGCAGGTTCTAACTCTGTTCTCTTCTCTTGCACTCTTCTTTAGCCTTGTTTATGAATCTTACATTGAAGCTTGAACATTAGGATGGTTTTTTTTTTTTGTTACAAATACAAAAGAAAGAGATCATCAGTATTAACCAACACCCTTGTGACTGTTGCTGAAATTGAAACACTGGAGGAACATTCTTTCCTTAGGCTTAGCTAGGTTGATACGCTAACCCCTTAAGTTCAATCAATGGGTTGCCAAGTTTGATTGAAGTTCTGTATATAAAGCAACACTAAGAATAATCATAACCTTTTGTTGGTTTTGTCAAGACTCTAATACTTTTGTGTCTCCATTTTGAGTTTTTTCTTTTTATACTGTTCACACTGTAAAGCATATCCATGTGAACTGCATCAGTAGACGACGACAAAGAGGACCCAGAAAGAAGACTTCTTATGCTGTACTGAAAGAAGAGAGACAGTAATATTTAGACTTTCCTGTGAAAAACATAAACTAACTGAAAGAAAGTTTTGAAGTTGCTGTTTGCATTACAAAACAAGAGGGTGAACTGTAGCAGAATGGGGGAACGTATAAGGACTCATATCAGTAGTTTGATATTCCAAAATCGAGCCAACCAAAGAATCTATAGAGAAAAAGAAATTGCCTCTTAACCACTGACATGATTGTGCACATCAGGTTTTGTCTTCATGCTGCTCTCAATGATGATTTTCTGAAGGTGGACGGGTTAACCAAACAGGAACTATGGTAAATGCATTTGGATTTCACCTCCCAAATGAAGAGTAATTAATTGTTTCTTTTAGGAAAGTTAGCTGCATTGCATGCTCTCAAGAAAGATCCATTTCTCGTGAGGTAAAGATAAGTGACTGAAAAGTTTCGTCCTTTTGCTTTAATCTCCAAGGTCCCTGTAAGGAAATCATATGGTAGCAGTAACAATGAACTTAGGGGGGAAAATAAGGCTGAGAACCATCATGAACTATCAAGCTTGAAGCTGTGGTCAATCAGACATGCTTGGATTTGCCGACAGAGGACAGGTTTGATTTTGTACCATATAAATGTGCTCCTTCTCATTCACTTTCACTGACTGTGTAACTCAGTGGCCTGTTGTGAGCATCCGAGGCTCCATTTTGTATTTACATTCCTTCTTTGAACCCATTGCAGCAACTTGCTGTAGTCCGGCCATGTGGGTCTCGAGACACACAGAAAGTTGCTTAAAAAGCTAACTTATTAAAAGGGTTTTCATTAGTCCGTGAATGGATAGTGATTTACAACTCCTAATTACACCATCTCTG